TGGATTCGCTTCGGACATTAGTACTTTTACGAAAACATTACCTAACGTCACCGGTAGGAAAAATCGGCTTGTGATCAGTGAAGACCTATAAAGTGAATTGTACCTATGTCAACTCGAAATTAACTCGCTCATCGTGAACCCTCGATAACATATCAAAGAAGTTCCAGACCAGAAAGAAGACTTTATATTGCTTGTAAGTTTCTAAAACTTTTGTATATAAATCATTGTTTGTAATAACTGTTATTGTAAATTGTATTATTGTTTGTGTATTAAAATATATTTGTATTAAAAAAAATGAAAACTGTGTGTATCAATCTTGTTGGCAAATATCATATATTGGATATATATCGGCATTTATTTAACTACAAAATTTAAATTATCATTTAGCTCGATTTCAGACCATTCAAAATTGTAATACGTAACAAGAGTAACTTGGTTACAATGACTCTAAGAATTAATTTGACATGTTTTATTTCTGAGAGGTAGACAGTGACTTGGTTACAATGACTCTAGGAATTAAGTTGACATGTTTTATTCCTCTGAATGTGCTAGTGACTTGGTTCTGATGATTGTAAGAGTTAATCGGACGAGTTCAGTTATGGTGTAAACTTTTTAGCGTGAGAACCTCAAGACGTTACACACCCTGACTGAGGACCCACACCTAATGATGTATGAGAAACTGTAAATAACAACCTTTGTGAGATTCTTTACATTTTAATTGCATTTGCAATTTGTTTTTTGAAGAATAAAAAAAATTCTCAAACAGAAACAACGTTGTGCGGTCGTAGTTATTGCAATAAATAAAATATTGCTTTGTCCAGTTTCAGGGAAGTTTTAAGAATAATAATTTAATGAGCCCAGTTTGGGTACCCTATTGTTGGTGACAGCGACTTGATTATAGTTGGTGTAAAAATTAATCTGGCATATCTATTTCTGTATTAAATTTAGGTTGCAATGGTTACGCTGTCCTTTTTATGTAAGTAAAATGAAAGCTAAGTATATATTTTATTCATTTACCTTTTGTTTTGCATGTTTTTAGATAGTTTGTAAAAAGTTATATCTTTTATATCACTTTTACTCATTACTGGCTGTGGTTAAAGAAAGGGAATCACTAAAATATGCTTGATGGAAGACAAGTCGTGAAATCGGTGTTCCTGCACCCACAATGTTGACGGACAGAGTGTGGTCCATTTATTAATGTTCCGGATTGTGAATCTGAGGTTTGCATTTGACTACCTCAAAAGAAAAAAGAAAGAGCGCTCCGCACTTTGGAGCCATAAAAGAAAAATAAGAGTAACGGTCAGCCCTCACTATCTGAGAAAAGGAGTCCTAGAGTTACTGGTTGGTGCTGTTGACTAGCTGCCTTTCCTCTATCACTTCAAAGTTAGGAGCAACTAATACAGGTGTCGTGTAGCTTTGCACGAAATTCAACAAATAAATACAATACAAACAATTAACTTTTCACACTAAAGTTTAATTATTCGATGATATTTTGTAACTGAGGTATCAACATGCATCTTAGTTTGATATAAATAAGCTTACCAGTGAACTATAACAACATTAGCAACTTCCCTCAAGAATTTCTCGTTGGAGGAGGTGAGGCGGGCGGTGCCTTGTTTCAAATATGTGTATGTGTGAACGTAAAGTATTTTATTCACTATTACTCATAATACTAGATGTACTTCCGCAGGGTCCCCGAAAGTGTTCTGCTTAAAAACTAAATAAAGCCTAAATCGAGAGCAACAAATATTTCTGTTTCGTGCTTTTGAAGTTCATATGTCATGCTGTGTTGTAGCCTACAGAATGCATAACTATACTCGTGACTCATGGCATGCGCACGTTTTACTGACATCACAACAGTACAAATTACAACGTTAAGCATCCATTTTGTGACCTCATTTTAGTGTCTACTGATTGACAGACAACACACTACTGCATAGTAGTGCGTGGAATTAAAACAGGAGAATCCTCCAGGCGGCTGAAATTATTCATATTACCCAATTCTTTATGTAAAGCAAAGATACATGCTGGTAATTTCTGAGCGCATTAAGGCTGTCAAGTTTAAAGAATAATACAAAATTTGCTTCTCCACATTTATTGTTTTAACTTGACGTTTAAACAATATGCAAAAAGCTTCAAGTGAAACAAACTTAGATTTGTTTATGGTAATACGAATGATTTTCTAGCTGTAATCTCATCTGTGAACACATCAGTACATATTGAAAAATAAAGGTTTGCAAGATGTCGAAAAAGGGGCAATGACAGCAAACTTCATACAAATATTAAAAAATCATACTTAAAAAATACACATTTCGTCTCTTTTGATCATAAATGCGATTGGACTTTGATTGTTTTATTCTCTTTTTAACTAAGTCTGAGCACTGCACATGTAAATTCACTTGGGGGTAAATCTATCAGATGACGACATCTGATTTTTGGCTATAAACCTACAGACTAACCGCTGAGCCACTGGGCCTTGTTAAAATAGAAGAATAAAACTTTCAAAGCCATAAATGTTTATTGATCAATAATATTCAAATAGTAAATCCTTCTTTGGTTATGGGTGAGAAAATAAAAAGTCATTTTTAGAGTTATATATAAATTTGGCCTTTAGAAACGTTAATGACATCAAGTCGCCGTTTTTTAGCTCACTAAAAAAACGGTTTTGCTGACCTGTAATGGGGATATATATTTTCTTGTATTTTGTTTCAGTGCGTGAAAAAAAAATTGTTCCTTAAAAAGCTGTTGTTTTTTTTTCATCTCATAGGATTACCAATTTCTAGGAGGTGTTTATCTTTTCACTTATAAATTCTCGGAGCGATAAGCTGAAAAAATAACCCGAAAACACTTTTTTTTAATTAACTAGTGTGGCTGTAAGGATAAGATGGCGCTTTTGGCAAGGAGATTCAGCCAAGGGAATTTCAGTCATCTCTTGGACTTCTTCTGTTCCAATGTACTTCGAGATGCCGAAAAAATTGAGGATAATGGATTCCCTTTGAGATGGAGAGATTTATTGATGGAACAAGGCAAGCAGAATAGTTACATCTTAAGTAAAAATGTTTTTATCTTTAATTTTCTGGTTCTAAAATGCAAATGAAGTTCCTAAACTTGCTAGACAAAAAGTATCGTTAATATTGGTTATTAATATATATAAATTAATCTGAAAATAATAGAAATTATTATTTTTTTATTGTTTTTTGTTAGATCCTGTTTATATATGACCTTTTTTGTAAGAACAAGGAAAAACAGTTTTACGTTGTTAGAATATTTGCTTTGTTCGTATTAGTACTTTGATGAAGACCCGAGCACAGACTGGTGACTAGCGCTCCGGATTGTGAAACTGTGGGTTTTTGTTCGCGTCTCTTTGCCGAATAATTCTGCTCCGCACTTTGGGGTCGTAGGTGCATTATAAAAGTGACAGTCAAGTCCTGCTATTCGGTCACGCAACAGTAGCATAAGAGCTGGCAGTGGATGCTTTTAACTAGCTGTTTTTCCTTTAGTCAGCAAGTTTCAAATTATAGACGGTTATAGTAGATGGCCATAACCCTTGTGCAACTTTAAGCAAGTATCCGAGACAAATAAACAACAAATCCTTGATGAGAGAGTCACGAATATTGCTTCAGGAGACAGACAGTCTCTTTAAGTTAGCTTCTTAATCAGTTTGGAAAGAAAGTATAAATATATATGTGTGTGTGTGTGTGTGATAATGAGAGAAAATAAGGTATAGAACTTGTGCAGTATATACTTACCAAGTGACTTTAGATGGTTTAGCCCAGAAGAATGATATGGAAGAGAATAATTAGTCTCAATAAATTAACGATTAAAATAATAATAGTAACAAAATTTAACAAAAACGATGAAGTATATACCAGCATAGTAAAATGTTATTTGTTTAGGGTAAGATTAAGAAGGTTAATTATTTCGGTTATTCACAATCACGACCCCCTCCCCCTTCATCTACAAAAATCACGAACGTTTCTTCTTCAAGGCCCAATTGTGTATGAGCGGTAACTTCATGTGATCTTTCTAATAACATAAAAGTGTTCACGTTGGTCCTAGACAAATTGCTGGGGGATGGGGAGAGACTCTTCCAAACTGTTGAATGTACCTTATTGATGTGACTTGTCTATGAAATAAATTCACGACTAATCTAGAAGATGATCCGAATAAAGTTCTGAAAGTCAGTAGACAAATAATTATGGGGAATAATAATTTTTGATTATTATTATTATTATTTCATTTGAAAGTAAGAATGAATAAATGTTTAATCTTAACAAACATATTGAAAAATTTTTCAATCCTTACATTATTTTAAACTTTCTCCTTTTAGTCTATAACCCTTCATATAACGTAGTCAAAGATAATTCTTAAATACACACTGCCTCTTTCAATAGAATGACCAAGTCCTAACTAACAGTTGGATATTTGTTTGTTTCTATGTAGTGGCGTTGTGTGGTGTGGCTGGATTTCGAGACTTCTACAGACCAGAATGGGTGAACCTGATACTGAGTTGGCAACATCCTAATGGTTGCTATGGTTACTTACTAAAACAAAATGAAGTTAACGGTAAGTTGCAATGTTTTAGGTCTACCTCCGCTATCCCCCTCGCGATACGTCAAATAATTATGAAATATAAATATTTATAAGTACTGACTAAAATGGCTACGTTTTATCCTAAACGTTTGTTGTTGTTTTTGCTTCTATTGGTACTTTAACACAAATACAGTATGTCGGAAAATTATGTGACATGCTACAAACAACAAAAGTACTTGCATGCAGCACCATATCAATCATTGATGGCGCTCTGTGCGAGTTATAAAATCTGCACCTCTCCTAAAAAAAAGAAAAAAATCTAATCTATTATTGTCTTCAAAGATGCATACTCGCGCCTCGTACAGGTCCCGCTCTGTGAGGGCGCACTTCTCGCCCCCCCCCTTTTTTTTCTTTTGAAAGTTGCGTGTTTAGTTTTCACAATGAACGTACCCTTAGGTGACCTTAGAATTTATAAAGCTAAAATGGGCCAGTGTTAATATCTGTTAACTGCTTTCAACCAGGAAAATGTACTCGAATATCATAAATCAGCTAAGGTTTCTGTGAAAATTTAGATGACAGCGTCATTATGTGACTTCTCACTAAATATTTCAGAGCGGACACTACGGTATCTAGTAAAAAAATATGGTTTGGAATATTGTGCGCACAAGAGAGAAATATCTAGGTCCTAAATGTTTAATATTCAAGAATAGCCGTCCCTAATCTTGAACTATACTCACGGCTGAAAGTGCTAATATTTTCAGATAAACCGGCTTCCCAAAATAGGTAGGTCCGTTGTATAACGGGAGGCTTTAGTAAGATAAATTGCAAAGTAATACTAAGTCTGTGCAAAGAAGTAAATGAACTGGACACAAAATATGATGCAAAACGATAACAGTCTATATTAATCTCGCAAACACAATGTGTGGATGTTTCCATTGGTCTCTAAGCAGTCCCCCTTACTGTAGTTATGAATTGATCAGGCTGGCTCTATTCCACCAAGACTTACTTCCAAGCTGACCGATTCACTAAAGATGATGTTTCAGATCATTCTCTTTCAAACATACATTATGCTATTACTTCGAGATACCACTTGACCTACCACTGATGGACACTGCTGTCTACATTTTTGCACAGCGTGCAGCATTATAGCCTATCCTACGTGGGTAGAATGGGCGTGAACTCATTAGAATGACAAAGGACCGAAGGCAACTGGAACGAAATCAATTTAACTTTCTTGACCATGTACTATGCGAAAACAGCACATACCTAGGATAAACGAATTTTGAAAGCAGTAAAATAAGAAGGTAGAAAAGGCAGTCGGCACTGTAACCACAAGGGCGATTGATAAAGTGAAAAATAGGATTTTCATAATTTTTTAAAACTAAAATTAAAGGGGAAAATGGCGATACCGCACGTTTTCAGCGTCATCACGTTTAGAACCTTCCGAATCGCAGAACTGCATGCTAACCACTAGGTCACACCCGACTTTCTTTGTTTGTTTGTTTGTTTTGAATTTCGCGCAAAGCTACACGAAGGCTATCTGGGCTAGCCGTCCCTAATTTAGCAGTGTAAGACTAGAGGGAAGGCAGCTAGTCATCACCACCCACCGCCAACTCTTGTACCAATGAATAGTGGGATTGACCGTCACATTATAACGCCCCCACGGCTAAAGGACGAGCATGTTTGGTGGGACAGGGATTCGAACCAGCAACCAATTGCGAGTCGAGTGCCCTGGCCATGCCGGGCTCCCCACTTTGTAAAATAAGATCACATCTAAATACTACACACAAAGAAATTATTGAAAAAGTTTATAAATTACTCACAAGAAACTCCATAATTGATACTGTTTCAATATATCAAACACGAAGAAACTTTCTGGTTCAAATTACTGATTATTTATGTATAATCGTTTCTATTTCCTGGAATTTAACATCTGGTTTCCTTAGTAAGCACTTTCACTGTAGGAGTTCATTAGCCAAATCTAGCTTGGGTAACTTGTCAAATAAACCTTTTGAGTATTAATGTAAAATACAGAGTGGATTATAGTGTGTTTATTGTTGAGCACAAAGTTGCACAATGGGATATCTGTACTCTACCCACCACAAGTATTGAAACCCGATTCTTAGCGTTATAAGCCCTCAGACTTATCACTGAGCCATCGATGGGTCATAAAGTGAGAATAAATTGTAACCTTTCTTCCTTATTAAGCTGTATTTGCTTTGAACAATAAACCAGTCTAATACTATAAGTATTCAATGTGTCTATCATCGTTATTGACGCAAGTACAGCTTCATTTTAAAGCATGATTTATTATGTTATTCGTAGATTCGTTTGTTTTTTATAGGAGAAGGGGGAGAGTTCGCTATTGACGCGCCCTATACATACACTTAAAAATACACGGTTTATCATTGAATTTAGTTCACGAAGTTTGATTTGTGGAGTTACGTTTAAACGTGGAAAATGTTATTTTTTGTTTCAAATTGTGTGTTATAAGTAACAAGGATTAATCATCTTGTAATTTTATAAATCTGAGAACAAACTAAACAAAGTATGTTATTTTCCTCAGATACTGTTGTGGCATCAGGAAAAACAACAAAACGAGAAGAACAGCACATGGGAGGTAAGAGCCGATCAAACCGAAAGTAATACCAGATTTAATTTCGAACAAGCTCTAATTTATCTCGGGCAGATTTTCACGAATTTTTAAATACAGATTCACTATTTTATTTTGTGAAAGTAATTGGCAAGTCAAACCGTATCTGCCGGTTGAACAAATAACTGAAGAGTAAAACAGTTTTCGATCATGTTGAATTTGCAGTAATTAAAGTTACTAAAAAATATTTGCAAAACAAACATTCTCCAAACACTTAGAAGCTGACCACCACGACATTTTGTTTATATATATAGGAAGCTGCCTGGCTCATATGACATCTGTAGCCCTTGGTGCCTTGGTGGTAAATGCTAGATTCCTCTTGGAAGACCTGATGATCCTCAACTGAAGTTGTCTCCTGTCATTTTTAATGATTTTCCATAGCGTAATCTCTTAATATGAATCTGTAATATACAATACGGCGTTTATTTCAGTTTGAATTTTTTCAATATTGATGTGGTTAGATCAATGTTGTTAGTCTTCTTACACCAAAGAAAAATGAATAAACAAATTAGTGTTAAACATCAGTGGTATTCAAGAAAAGCTAAGAATTTCAATGTTTTATGTCACAGTAACAGTACTGCTGTCAGTTTTTGTCAGAGTGGTTTGGTTAGTCTGTTTTTATTGCATGGTGAAAATACTACGATTTGGCCTAACGTGGATACTTTCCCAGCCTACTATCACATCGGCCACTTTACTTAGCTTGTGGCAGATAAGTTATCACTCAGCATATGCTTACATTGTAAATTATCCGACTTTCTTCAGATTGATCACTTTACTTAACTGTTATCAGTTTATTTACTTTACTACTCAGTTTTTGCCACACATTACGACATTACTTTATCTTTTGTACACGCAACATTTTTCACGGTAGCTTTTCGTACAGTGGTTACAACACTCAGTTTTTACCCAAGTGTCCACGACACAAAGATTTGTTAAACTGGACATATTGATTCAACTTTTGTACGTTTAATTATATTAACTTAATATGCTCTAATATTTAAGGTTACAATAACTCCATAAGGCTATTATTCGGCTTCTGATTTATAGGTTAAGTTACTTAACTTTTACAGCTGTGCTTACATTATTCAACTTTTGAACCACGTAAAAAAATTTGAAGCGCATCGAATATATAACTCAGATTTTCTTACACTGGTTGACTGACTTTTGAGACACGTGGCACATTCTCTAACTTCTTTTTCGGTGACTATATAACTTTCACCAGATTGACGAATTAGCCATTGGCTACATGTGGTTGCAAGTCTGCTATTGTCAAATAAATTATGTTGCACGTTCTTTGGACACTGACTACATTATAAAACTTTTGTTAACTTAGCTACATTTCTAAGCTACTAGTTCTTGCTGCGACGACCATATAATAACGTGGTTCATATGTTGACTTTGCAAGATTAGTTTGTTAGAGTATCACATACTTCATGGAATCAATTTTATCGTCACTAAAAGGAGCGACCAACTTAAGAAAGGGCCAACTACGTATCACTTACTATGTCCCTCAGTGATAAGTCTGGATTTATGACGCTAGAAATCGGGTTTTGATACCTGTAGTGGGCATAACACAAATAGCCTAGTGTGTAACTTTGTACTCAACAACAAAGTACCCAATACATTCTTACTTAGCGAGTATCCATACCCATTACTACTGTTCCACGTTCACAATGGATTCTCATCTACTATATAGTTTTGTTTTTTGGTTTGTTAGCCCAGATAGCCCTCGTGTAGCTTTGCGCCAAATAAAAAAACTATATAATAGACGAGAAATTATGGTGAACGTGGAAGGGTAGGTAGGGGTATGGATACTCGCGAAGTAAGAATGTATTAAGGAATTTTTTGTTGTTTTTTATTTCTCGCAAAGCTACACGAGGGCTATCTGTGCTAGCTGTCTCTAATTTAGCAGAGGGAAGGCAGCTAGTCATCACCACCAATCGCCAACTTTTGTACCAATGAATAGTGGGATTGACCCTGACATTATAATGCCCCGACGGCTGAAAGGATTCGAACCCGTGACCCTTAGATTGCGAGCACCCTAACCATCTGGCCATTCCGCACCTCTATTATATAGAGTAATGGTAATAAACGTTTAAGAAATCATTACACTGGATTTCTTCTGGGTTTGAACAAAATAATTCTTGCCTGTTGAGTATGACTCAAATTTCAGAAGGTTTGGGGTACCTATTAAGTAACAGCAAATCAATATATTATGGATGTTATACTCTATTGTTTCTACGCGCATGATTAGGTTTTCACTTGTGCATGATCAAAAAAAAAAGGAAAACTAATTCTGTCACTTCAGTTTTACTTTGTATACAAGAGGTGGTCAGGTCAACTAAATGGTTGTGATTTTAGTATTCTTACTTGGAAAAACAATGATGGAATTTCAAATGAACTCTATAAATATACTAATAACTAGGTAAGAAAGCCCAGTAACATCCCTTTTATTTATGTTCCTACACATCCACTGCTACAGCAGTATGTGGCATGGTGATTAAAAATGTCCATGGATATAAATCTTTCCTTATAAAAACCAATATGTACATCAAATTCTGTTTTATGAAGTTTAGTACACAATAATCAGAAGTTTGATTTGAATTTCATACATTCAATGCTTTTAACCCACATAAGATGAAAGCACAATTCATAAGTAAATGTAAAACTCAAATGTAATCATTTGCTGATTAATTATTTAATCTTTTAACAGGGGAAAATAAGTTATAATAATTAACTATCTGAGCAAACTTCATAACTAAAACAGGAACCATGAATACAATTTACCAAATCTAGGTGACACCATAGTTCAATACATATTGTACCTAACTAAGATCTGAGGTTTCAATCTCATAATATTGGACAGTACTGCAACCTGTTAATTTTAAAATTACACTAAAAGAATGTCTACAGTTTATCAGTTGGAAACACTGTTTAAGATAAAATATCACGTTATAGCAAAAAATAAAAGTACTACATTATTATTCAAAAATAAAACTATTATCCAGGGAATTTTTATCTTTTTCAAAACATCACTACATAATCGTTTACACTTGTTTAGCCCTTGCAAAGTTATCCACAAATAACTTTAATCTTTGTAGTTTTGTCTTTTTTGTTGTAGTTTGGTGATAAATCAAAGCTCTGACATTGTGGGATAACAAAGTCTGTGAATCATGTCATAGCTTTAAACCTTAAAGATAGTGCAACCCTGCTGCTGTGTAGGTTCTAATTTTATAAATAACTTTAAAATTAAGATACATCTTACAGTTTGCCAACTATAATTAGTATCATGTTAGTTTGCTTTGTCATTGTTGTTGCTTGTTTGTTTTGAGGCTATCTGCTGTGTCCACCACAAGGAATTGTATTGCAAATTTTAGCATTGCAAGTCCTTAAACTTACCAGTGTCCCACCAAGGTACCCATGTTGTTGCATTCTTTGCTTTTACCATTTCATCTAGAGTTGGGAATTGATGCTGGTCAGGATCTTATTATGTATGAAATTATTACACTTAATGTTTGGTCAAATAATTAGAACAAAATATACACATACAAAAGTGAAAAATGTTCACCATAAAATCTTTCAAGTATCTATAAAAGAAAAACAATCAACAAAAAGTAACAATGCTTTTCCACATTACTTAATGATGTTTAAAACAAACTATGATGTAAAAGCTGTAAAACAAACAAAACTTACATGTCAGTTTGCCCAAACTTGAAAATAGTGATGTACTCTCTGCAAATATAAAAACATGGTGACTTGTTTGTATTTTAGTACTTAACTTCATATGTTTGATTTTGTACTTACAGAATATGCTTTTGGTAAATATAATTGCTCCCAGATGACTCCTTTTTTTTTTCTCTCTTAAAGTCTAAATTTCATGTGATGAAATAAACACAATGAACAAAACTGCAAAATTGAAGTAATTTATTAAAATATACAAATCAAAGCTCTTTTATAAAAAAACAGTTCTAGCACACTGCTAAAATTCCAGTCACAAAGTTGGCACTTCAAGGATTTTACAGTCTTCACAGTTGCTATCAGAACTCTTCCTTCCGTAGAACACTGATGTCTTGGGTTTCACAAAAATCATGGGTGAAAGGGATGCAGTTGAAATATTTGCAGAAGGAGCACTCGTGAATTGGGTATACATAAAATAAGACCACTAACCCAAAAAACAGGAGAGTCACCACCACAAGGCAGAGTACAATGATAATGATTTTAGTTGTACGATCATATGTGCCAAAAGAGAGAAATGGTAGAAGTGCATAGGACAAGAGGAAGCCAAATATGAAACCAAAGAGGTGAGAGTAGTTGTCAACCCATGGTAGCAAGCCTAAAACAAACAAGATGAGAGCCACACCGAGAAGACGAAGCAGAGCCACACCTGGCCGTTTCATGATTGGCCAACAGTGAATGACTTCTACTATAAAGCAAGCTAATAGTCCAAACTGAGACCCAGCTGGGCCAACCTGAAAAAAAAAACATTAACAAAAAGTTACAGCTAAAAAAAACTCAAATTATTAATAGAAAAAAGGAATTATCTTCATAAATTCAAGTTTTGCAGCATTTAACAGTTTTACTAAATTGCTTTTAAAACTACAGAATTATTTAACCAGTAAATAGAACAGTTTTTCTAAATCTGGACAAAATGTTAACAAAAAAAAAAAGGTGTAAGAAACTTTACCTCAAAGTTTGCAAACAGCAAACAATATAAAGAAGCATTTTTCACTAAAGTATCATTGCAGATATTCAAAATGAAATGTTCCTTTTACAATAACTTTTTGGGACATCAAAAACAAATACTGCTTTTACAACATATTTCTATGCTCAGATGAATGCTCTAAATAACCAAAAATTTTTATAAGCTTGAAATTAAACAAAATACAAATTCAACAACATGAACTATTCCCCAGAATCACTGCTTTGATTCTTTAGGATTGTTTTATGAATCACCCCAAGCTGCATTTTACCACAAGTTTTCACCTTTACTTTTTACACATTTTGTACAATACATTATTTTATCATTTATAATCCCTTATATATATTATATGTATTTGAGCATGAAACATGTTTTAACTGTCAGTGGATTGCTTACTCAAGTCAAAGGCATAAACTGTTTCAGAAGCATCTTTTAAGCTTTTTCCTTTTCTGTTTCTTGGTGTTAAATTCTAATGAATCATGGCTAAAATGAGCATTTATTCAGACAGATTATAGAAAAATTATCACCAGATTTACTCTCAATTTCCCTTATCTGTACATTACTAATTGATACCTACAGTAATTGATTTAAGAAGCTTTCCTACATGTACTTATACAAAAAAAAAGCATTTTCATATATTGAATCTTTTTTTTTACTCAGCAACTATCACATAAAAAATATAAATGAAAAACTATAAATAATTAGTACACTACAGAATAACTTGACATGGTTCAAAGGTAATGCATACTTATTACTAAATAAATTGCGTTGTGGAAAAAAAAAGTCAAAAATTCTCTATTAAGACTGAACCCAGGTTCCAACATTATATGAAATGCAAATCCAAACTTCAAAGTCTGTAGTAATGAAGTATATAACACAACAAAACATTTCACAACAAACGAAACTGAAACTATCATTGATGCCCATTACTAACAAGAAGGTTACAAGTCTAAAAAGGCAGTCTATTTTTTTGTTTTCACTGCTCCTCCTCTCTGCCAATATACCCTGAAATGTTTATACATGGAAGTGAACATGTAAAATAACACATTTAAATATATTTAGATTATGCAACACAACAGAATATTCATTAATGCTGACCCATTATAAGTAAAAGGAGTTCTATACGTTTCTTTTTTTTCTATGGTTGACGGAAAAATATGAATAGCTGTTTTAAATGTTTCCTAAAAACTTTTTGTGATTTGTACAACTACAAATAAATAAGCTAGGAAATGTATATTCATGTATTGTTGATAAAAAACAATTTTGTAGTTACAATTAATATTATAGATGAGTCAACTGAAAGGATAATTGTGCTGATACACCGACTTTTGTCAAATAGTGGAGTAGATAGTGGTGCTGAAAAGAATTGCAGTTACTCAGGCCTACAAAATAACAAGTACTACATACCTCAGCTCTGTATGGAACAAAGATTGCACTTGCAAGATTTCCAGCAACCCCTGATATGATATAGATGATTCCTATTCTCAAAGGACCTGTCAGTTTCTCCAGGTCTCTCATGAAGTAGTACTGGATAACTATTGTAACAAAAAGGTGTACAATCCTGCAACAGAAAGAAACTAACAACTCAACACAATAGTTTTCTTGGTCGAAGGAAATTCTCTTTGAAATTCATGGTCTGTATTTCTAATTGAATAAAAATGGGAAGAAATGAATATGTTACATTAATCAATCAGAATTTATCACAAGTTTCAACCAGTGATTTTACAAAGATATATGGATGCAAATTTTTCATCCATTATAGTAAGATAGAAATTAACATCAAAATGTGGTAAAGTTAAAGAGAGTATTCATTAGTTATTGTGCTGTTTAAAACATCCTCTAAGCATCATTATTTATGCTAATTACTTAAGCTAATTTTACCCAAGCAAAACACTCTTTAACCCTTTCACTGCCCTACGTGACTTTAGTCAAATTCCAGGTAGAGTGCCAAATGCAAATTAAGTCGAATTCCTGACATAGTTTCATTTACTAGTCTGTAATTCACTCTGTGTCACACCTGCATGGTTTCTAGACAACCACAATGTAATTTAGTGTAGTTTCCTTGATCGTAGGTGTTATTTTTGTGAAATTCTTGACTTTTGACCCAATTTGAGAGCAATGACCAGAATCATGTCAACAGGTAAATGTAAACAAAAACAATGGCTTGCCACAGAGGATGTATTGGGCAAAATAATGCAAGATTCAGACTAAGAATTGAGTGAATTTGGCAATGACGATTGAGAAAACAGAAACATAGATACCAATAATGATGTAAGTAATGTTAATACACATGATGTAGCACATGGGGACATTGATGATGATGATGATGGTAGCAATGGGGCATGGATGATACTGATCATGAGTGAGTCATTGATGATGATTATGACAATTATAGCCCAATTTGGTGCCCAGCTTATGCCAAAAGGCCTGGCCCTGTGATTCCACCTTTGCCTGACTGTAACCACCCAGTAGATTATTTCTACTTGTTATTCCCTCAGGAAGCATTTGAGCTTATTTGCGAGATGATTAACACCTATGCCCTGGAGTTCTTTGATAATCCGGCAGACCTGCCTGATAATTCTCACTACAATGATTGGGTTGCAGATAATGATGGGATTGTGTTCCAAGCCAAGAATTAGTCATTACTGGGCAACTGGGGGTATAGCCCAGTCCCCTGGTTATCGAGATGTACTGCCATGCAATCGTTACCAGCTGATCAGTTTGTTCCTTCATTTTTGTGAAAATTCTCAAAGGGTCTCACGTGGAGAGGAAAGGTATGATCCTTTGAATAAAATTGCTTCTGTCATGAACATTGTGAAGCCACTGTATAAGCAGTATTTCATTCCACATTGTGAACTTACAATTGATGAATCAATGAGGAAGTTCAAGGGACAGATATACTTTCATCATTACTTACCGAACAAACCCACAAGGTGGGGTATAAAAGTGTGGTCACTGTGTGAGAGCAAGTCAGGTTATCTGTCAGACTGGGATGTTTATACTGGTAGAGACCACAACCCTGTGGCACCAGAGCAAGGCTTGGCTCATAATGTTGTTATGAAACTGATGGGCAATAATGGATACTTGAACCTCGGCCACCATTTATATGTTGATAACTTATACTTCAGCCCTTGCCTCTTTGAAGCCCTCAAGGAACAGGGTACTGGTGCCTGTGGAACTGTGAGATTGAATTGAAGGGGACTTCCAGAAGAAATTAGACCAGCAGGGTTACAGCTGAAGAAAGGTGATGATCTTGCTTATTACAGAAAGGGTGATATGCTTATCTGCTCCTGGCATGACACTGCAAGGGTCAACTTTCTTTTGACAATCGATAATAATGGCTACACTTGAAAACAAATTTGATCCAAGCAGTCAGAGATTAAATTTAGAGATGTGAAAAAAAGCCAAATGTGGCCTTCAATTATAATGCTTTAATGGGAGGAGTTGACTTGTTTGACCAGAAATGTACCAGCTACCCATATTGACACAATTGCAAAAAGTGGTACCAAGCAACTTATCACTTCATCAGAGAGGTAGCACTAGTCAACTCCTACATACTGTACACAACTGCCAACCCTAATTCAAAAATGGAGCCACATTCATTCAGGGAAAAGGTTGCAACCAAACTCTGTGCTTCTATTCCTCCAAATATATTTGGAAGGAAAGGGAGGAGGTCGATAGATAACCCAGAGGATAGAGAGGAGCAACTGACAGGGCATAACTTTCCAATGGCTTATCCAGATCCTAACTGTGTTGTGTGCAGTGAAAGTCCTTCACATCCAAAAAGGAAGCAAACCAGACATGGATGCATGAATTGTAAGGATGGAAGGGGCAATGCCTGCCCATGTGTCTTACAGACTGCTTCACGAAGTACCATACGGTAGAAGAAAAAAGGTTGTAAAACAAGATTACTTTTCCTCTAAAATGTTGTGTTTATTGTTTTAATGTTCATTTCTAAGTTCTGCAGTGCATATATGTGCATTTTAGGGTGATTTAGGGATTTTTAAATAACACATTTCAAAATAGACATTTTTCACCAGAAATTCTGCCACTGTAGGCAACTTTCCATAGGAAAGGGTTAATTAGGAGAATTTAATAAAATTTAGCAAATTTGTGCTTAAAAGTTGGCAATGAATAATAATCGTCCACCCATATGATTCCTTTGAAAATTGAGCTACACACTGCTAATCTAGTTTACTTGGCCTAACCAATACTTATGTATCTGTACATGCTTTCACCCTATAGTTTTGCATGACGAAAAACTGAAAATGATCCACTTTTACTCTTAGGTGAAGCTGTAGTAAAAATGTTAGACTGATAGCTTACATCACTTTTTGCATAGGCATGCATAAAACTCTTAGTCAAAATTGAGCAGTTTTTGTTGAATAACTTTGCACATATGGCTTATATTCATACCAAATCTGACACCTAATTGCAGATTGTAAAGAATTATCAAATAAAGTTTCCATAATTTCAATGAAAAAAAAAAAAAGAGAGGAACAAGTTCAATCAAAATTAAGGATTTTAAATCTTTTGTATCTCTTAATGGATTGCCTTGAAATTTGAAGTAAAGGTCCAGTAGAACACATCCACTGAAAATATGTAATAGTTTGGATTACCAAAATACAAGCTACAGAAGTGGAAAGTTGCTAAACTATTACTCCTGTTAATAACACATATCAGCTCATAGAATGGCTCTGAGTTTTTCATGTATAAACTTTTAGCTCATAACTCCATCTTGACCAATTTAAGATCTAACTACAGTTTTCAACTCAGGTGGTCAAACCCTTTCAAATGATGTATTTAATCATGCCCCAGGTCTCACAGATTAATTTACTCTAATGCTACCTAAAAGAATTTCAAGTGCCACGGCTATTGAGCATTCCCTCTTGTTTAAGTCTCATAATGCTTATAACATGGTATGATAATTTGTTTTTTCTTACCCTGCATGTAGAAACAGAGATGTCCAAAGGCGGTAAAACTGATCAGGTAATTCAGGATCATAAAATGGTATCATTCCACAAACATCATCTAAACAGGACACCTAGAACATTAAAGAATAAACACTGATAATCAGCTGAAAACAGAAAAAAAGCAATAAACTTTTAATGAGGTATGCTGGGATTAACTGAGATGGGACTGTACAAAATATAAAAGAAAAACAAAATTGAAAGCAATGTTCTTAAGGGCATAAGGAACTTGTCTGAATAAAATTGGAAGTGTCTGGTCACCTACAGGGATCTATATGCTTGAAAATGTTAAAGAAACCATTTAATGGAGAATAAAGTCAGTATTATTTTTGTCTTTGTTCCAGTTTACACAACAAGGGTCTGTTTATGGAAGGGGGAGGAGTTAAGAATACTACCAAAACCTTTTCTGTTGATACAATCACTTAAGTTGTAGATCATTTCAATGTACATGTTATAGTTTAAAAACATTTTGTGTAGCAAAAATTATATAAACTATAAAATTAAATACAGAACAAGTCGAATTCAACATTAATTATTTTATTAATATTGGCAATCAAATTGGTCTTGATAAATTCTATAATGTGGCAGTTGCATTGGATTAAACATTAACCAATACAGCATCCAATTTTTATAACAAGTAAGTCTAAGACTATATAATCAACAAATAGTAAAATAAAACTGTAATAAAAAATACCATAGAGTCAAAATTTGATATACTAATAAACAAAATGCACACTGTTCAGTGTTGCTTTAGGCATAATCACTTAAAAATCATTCACAAGTTTATGATAATTCACATCCAATTTTTTTCTTTTCATAACTATGCTTGAAAGCCTGGCCAACATTTTTTGTTTATAGCAGCCTTTCTTGCTGTTTAACCAACTTAGTTTTCCAATCTCAAACTTAGGCTTTAGAATCAAGGTCAAAATGTTTCTGTGAAGGTTTCTTTCTTCTTTTTTTGTTTCCAGGTGTTCCTGTACCTTCTCTTAACACTCATAACACTTATCTAGAAAAGAATGAAGTGTGCTTTCTCTAGAAAAATACTTAGATAGCAGATTTGCCTTGTGACATAATGTCTATTATTTGACTGTCTGAATAGCAGAAGATATTTCTGTTCATAGTTCCTGACTTAGGTCTATAATATCTGCCACTATGCTACAACCACCTTCAACAGCTGGGCCATCAAAGCAGCTCAGGAGATATAGTGCCATACTAGACAATAATGGAAACAGACTCTTATAGTGAATGTCATCCCCATTAGTACCTAGGATAGGGGATAGGTTTTGAAACACCTGATATTTATGTACTTTCTTGGCATAGCACAATTGATCCTCTGCTCCTTAAACACTCTTCACAACTTTGGGTAGAGTCTGGAGTCTCTTTCTAGTGTCTTACAGTATCCTCAACATAAGTGATCACTTGCTAAAGCACATTCATTCTTTAGAGGAAGTTTCTTCTGAAGGTATGTAGCACAAATGAAGTATGTCTGCTCAACTTTCACATTAAAGAACTTAACAGTGGGGGTTGTGGTTTGTAAGTTGCACAAAATATTTTTTGAAGAAAGCTAGTTGGAATTGTTGGTAGTATCCAATTTCTTGTCATTCTTTGGATAGGCCATGGACTAGCTGGTGAAAGATTCTGGTTTGAGAAAGCATGAGAGGAATTCTCTAAATAGCTCAACTTGTTTATTGATCAGTTTATAAGCTAAAACAACTTATCTCAAGCATGTACATATACTGCTTTAGCAGAGAGAGTATCTCACTATAAAAGTGCTTAATTAAGCATGATTCTTTCCTAAGTAGAAGATTTCATTGACATCCACTTTTTTCTTGTCCGTTCTTCCTGTTTCACTTTCTTCTGAGAAAGGTGTTCAGCAGCTTCCTAAGCTGGTTTTTCCTTTCTTGGTTGACAATTCCTCCTTCAGTATCTCATGCAGTACTCTTTGGTATAAAGACTTGTAATCATCAGTTAGAAAATCAAAACAGAATATTGATAAAACATCCTAGAGCCTGAGCATATTGAGGGTGACATCATAATATGAGACATTACTGTGAAATGAACTGTTCTAGCACCATACATTTGACTCCAAGTAAATAATGCATGTAATACTTGCAATAAACTGTGTCAGTCATATGAACCTTGAGATGAAATGCTATTTAGAATTAATAAAATGTCTGAAAGACATTTACTTTAAGTGTAAAGCAGATGATTTGCTTTCTCATTCTGAATTCTTTTCTCACGTCCACTATTAGAACCCTGTATAACATTACAATAATCCATCAGGATAGACATGCAATTATTCCAAGGTATGTTATTCTGTTCAAATACTTTAGAAAGTTCCTTGATAAAAAAAAAATTAGTGTTCACAGTGAATAAATTAACAGCAACCAAATGAATTAATGCAACAAAATTCTGAATTCTGTTATAATATGATATCTGAATCTTATTATTAGAATTACTGTGCAACAGTACAAAATAATTTTTATTCTTATATCTAAATAACATAATTAAGATTACTACAAAAAATTATCAAAAACAGTAAAAAAATGTTTATAAAGCCCAACCCTGTTAAATTTTTGAGCAAAGGTTCCCCACTTGCCACTGGACAGAAACGAGTCTTTGACCTCAAACCTTCTATCAAACTTGGACAGTGACCAATGCAGGTCAGTTGTGAACCCATGGAAGTACCCCCATACCACATCTCAAAATACTTTTCAACTTACCTGAATCATGCCAAGAAATCACTGCAGTTGTCAATAACTCAATTAAATTATTACAAGATCTAGGTATAAGTAAAGTGCATGACTTATAGGCCTGACTTCAAACACTTGCATACTAAGAAGCTTGATCTGTGCCTAAACATGGATCTAAAGTTTAAAAATTAAAATCTAGTTCTAGTACTCAAATCTAGCTTGTAGATCTATTATTGCTCAGTCAAAAATTAAACAAAAAACTTTTGTTTCCAGTGTTACCACCCATTACTGTGTTTGTAGTCCACATGTATGAATTGATAATCAAATGTTTTAATAAGAGGAACATTTTTTCTTTTGGTAAGTCATACAAAAGTGTTCAAAGGTCATGCACCATAGTTTATGATGTCAAAAATCCATTCGCATATTGATTTCTCTACCGTGTTGATCTTCTTAACTCTCTCAACACAGGGTCAGTCAATCTGATAGTTAACCCTAATTTTTAAACTAATGATAGTAATGCACTTAATAATTTTTATTTAATTAAATAATGCACCAAAGAATATAGACAAATAATATGTAAAAAGTACACAAATTCATTTACCTCTCAACATTTTTCTGGCTTTCTAACTATGCAACAAAAGCCGTTACAAACTCATCCAAGCTAGTCGTTAACTTTCCCATGGGAACAAATCTTGTACTGTGAAGGAAACTGATGATATTCTGTTCAAAACACAACGTTATACAATATATCACTTGACAGATGAAAAACCTTGACTTTCTATTGGTTAAAGGTAATATATAATGAAATGTAAGAGAGAACTATTAACGAATTCTGAAATAGAGAATGTGACAGGTAGGTGTGGCAGGAGGGGTCTGATTTTTTTATTTGATAGCTCTCTAACCAAACAAAATTGAAAAATATAAGAATTATGGTTTGTCTGAGCAATGAAGATTTTATAGAGTAATTTACGTTTAATTTTGTACTTTTTCGAGGGGTGGTGGATCAAATAGGGAAGATGACATGCTAACAGAAAATGTGTCACGTGTCACACTATAGTGAAATAAGGATTTTTCTTAATATTCCCTTGTAGAATTAAGAACTTAAAAACTTATATACTCTTAAAATATGGATTATTAGCTAAGATTTTATGTTATTCTAATTGGTATAACATAAACAAAAAGTAGTTTAATAATATTTTGAAGGTAAGATACTAAAACCTTGTATCATGTGCCATGGCGATAGTTAAATCTTTCAGCACAAGCTCGGTCCCTGGGACCAACCTCGTAACCATTTTGTGCTTGTTATAATTTTCATGCAATAACTTTTAAATTAGTAAGTGAATATTAACAAAATTGGGCAGATTATCAGTAAACATTACAATGCTTTCATATGCAAAATTTTAAATTTTTTTAATAAGTCTTAAAGTTTATAAAGCAACGTTTTTCTCATGTCTTTTTTTGTCTTTTCGCATGTTGCCTATCTATCATGCAAAGTAATTTTCATTTTAAGATTAAAAATACTTTTAAGCATCAAAAAATTTTGAAATTTCACATGCAAAATCTTTATATTGTCCAGATAGTTATCAAACGTTTCTTAAGAAAAAACTTTATATTTTATCTGTTATTTTCAGTAATAAATCTCTGTACGGGTTCAGTAAATTTAACCGATCTAGCAACCACCATAAAAAATTAGGAATATAAATTGCCTCTTTCGTTCTAGAATGAACACAAATTATAACACAAAAACATAAATGTTTAGACTTAAATCTCATAACTTTATACATTTATATATATTTATTAATTTTATTATATTGACCTTTCAGCCATGCCTGGCTAACAATTGAGAAGTTACAATGATGCAGCTCACGTGCACTCATGTTACCGTATCAAATAACATAAACTGACCTTCGGCCTGTGCAAAGTAACTTGTCTTGGCTGTGTTTTAGTAGACTAATATTTTGTAAAATACAGTCAAATTTCAATTATTATACATTATATGTATATAGATAATTGCTATTTTGAAATAAGTTCTTAAACTTATTTTTCTTAAAACATAGAGCAGTAACTAAAGAAGTAAAACAAACAATTATCTCTTTTTAGTTATGACCTTTGTACTCGGTTGCTGCTTGATGTAGGTTGCTAAGTCTTTAAAAAATTGCACATGGTGGATATGAAACAAAATAATTTTTTTAGGTTTTATATCTACACTTGAATAACTAAAAAATTATAAATTACTACATTAATACCATAGAATTCCACTATAATTCATCACGCTTAGTAACTAAGATGTATTTTAGTCTAAACAAAATGAAATTTCAAGCAGACTAAAGACACCCTACCTCGTTGAAATATTGGTTTGAAAAAAAGAAATGGCACAAAGTCCATTTAAATGGCTGAGAAAGCCAATAGGTGGACATTCTGAGCTTCTGATTGGTTATTCATGTCATATATACAAA